TTATCATCTTGAATTGCACTTAGACTATTGATCTGGTAAAAGTAATTCCATTTTGAAAAAGAATTACACCAAGCATTCCTCTTTGATCTTGAAAAACTGACGACTGTTTGTGATTTGTAAATAGAATGAATGATAATAAAAAATATTTTGTTTTTTTAATTTCGGAAAGATATGCCGTGTTTTGATCGGGCAAGAAAAAAGTTTGATTTTTCTGGGGGTGGTTTGGGAGGAAGATGGATCAAAGTAGTCTCTAGGTCGGTCTCCACCTCAAACAAACGTGTGAGACTACACGTTTTTAGATCTGGTTTCTCAGTCTTCCCTGTGGAGAAAAAATCACACAATAATACAAAAGAACAAATCAGATTTCGGTCTATCTTTGATGCAATAAATCAAAAACTGTATGCAAACCCTAAACAAACCCCAGATGCCTAGCATTTCGATTCTGTAAAAACCGAAATGATAAGAATAACAGCAGCAATTTCTACGGGTTATATATTGAATGTAACGAAATTAGGGTGAAAAGAGGAGCCAACCTGTTCAGGCTTGAGGAAAACAACGTTTCCTAATACGATGACGGAACCAGAATCGTCAAGGGCTTTCGCCAAATCTAACCCCTGATCTCTGTTCGAACATCCTTCCATACAAATCTCAACGAACTCGTCATACGAAACGTGATTTTTACGAGAGCTTCTCAACTTCGATTTCAACGTTTCGATTTGCGAAACCCTAAGGATCTTCTTAGCGTGCGCCACCGTCAACTCCCCCTCGGAAGATCTCTCCATCGGAGGAGAGATCACATCGAGACGGATGCGGCCTCTCGTAATGTCCATCTCCTTTAGTTTTTCCAACATGCTCTCTCCTCTCGACCGAAGGATCTCCGGCATGGCGGAGGACGACAGGTCCAGCGGCCGTCGCTGGAGAAACCTCCGAAAAATCGTATCGTCTCCCGGATCTGGTGCCATTCTGTCAGGATTAGGTGGCATAAAAACTTGAGCAGCGGCAGAGGACGGAGAAATGCGGCAGTTGCGTAACGTCTGATTGGAGAATTTGTTATTGCAGATGTTGAACATCCGCTGAACTATGTTTTGCTTGAACGCCATTGATGAAAATAGACGTGTTTTGTTATGTTGATTTTGATTTGGAAAGAAAGAAAAATGATCGCCTTTTTATAGTGAAAGATTAGGGAGTAAAGTTCACGACAAATGACAGTCGCTGGGTGCTTCGTATTTATTATAGGGTCAGGTCCTCAAACTTTACCGTATAAAAAGATAAGATCAAATTGTGCAATATAAATACAAAATACGTTTCTTTCTTCAAATAGATATAACTAATGTCTAAAATAATTCGAAATTAATAATATCTCAAAGTGAATAATGTTTGTATAACTTAAAGGGATTTTCTGGGTAGATATAAAAATTATTAATTAATTATAATTATTATCATAATTAAATGTAAAATACATTAATTTTAAGAAATATTATTATAATTAAATATAAAATTCATTAATAATCTCTATAATTAATACATTTCATAATTAAATGTAAAATACATTAATTATAAGAAATATTATCATAATTAAATATAAAATTCATTAACAATCTCTATTATTAATACATTTTATATTTAATTATAATAATAATTATAATTAATTAATATTTCTTATATGTGCTTTTAGATCACATATTAAAAAATCCCTAACTTAAAACATGATTATAAAGATTTTTTCGATATGGTAAAGAATTACCCTTCAAATAATCCAAGTCGTGATCATACTTTGCCGTATGGAAAAAAAAAAATAGAAGCCGAATAATAGGAATGACGTGGACTTAAGAACAAAGTTCCTGGGAGACGCAAGCGTGTCGCCACGTCGAAACCACGGAATTATCACTCTAACCCCTACATTATCTCAACGCTCCAAACCAACCCGTAAAGTTGTCTTTTTTACTTTATTGCAATATTCCTGGTTTCTCCGTAAATTCCAAAAAGATTCTTTTAAGATTTTATTTTTTATTTTAATAAAACAAATCAATAAATTTCAGTTTTTTTTTTTTTTTTTTTTTTGTTAATTTAGATAAAAATTAGATAGTTTATCAAAAGGAATAATGACTTGATGTAACCAACTTTTCATTTTCTTTTTCATATTTAGTCATTTAATTTTTTTCATACTTGATTTAATGTGAATTATTTGAAATTGTTCACATTTTATCTTATGACTGGTTACAACTGATTATAAGAGTAAATTGTGAATATTTCAAATAATACATGGATAAATCAAGCAAGAAAAAAAATCTAGTGACTAAATATGAACTAACTGAAAGTTTGTTACCATTTCAAGTCATTATTTATTTATTTATTTATTTTGTATTCATCTCTTAGTTTATTTTGCTTATTGGTAGCAATTATTTAGATTAATAATTTTGATTCCAATCATTATGATTTGTTTTGTGTCATGTTTGTAAGTAGTATTACAGAATAGAATGCATATCACATAACCATGCTGTAGTTATTACTTTAATCCTAGTCAGTTAAATAAACTTTTAGTTAGAGTTTCTTTGTTCAGGTATTAGTAAAACGCCAACCCACAAAGAAAAAATAATTAGAGTTTCACAAAGACAAAAAGACACATACGATCAATAAAACAAAAAATAGATCGAAATTCAAAAGGAGCATTGTTAGAATGTACATATAGAACCAACATACAAATAGAAAAGGTAGATACAATTAATAATTAAGAAGAAAAGTATTGTTAAAACAATTTGAAAGTATAAACAATGAAAACTAGGCAAAATGCACAATGTAAAGGCAACTAGCACGTAGACTACTCATGTACTACTCCACGATATTGATCTTTTGCATCCACGCTCTCTAATCAAAGCTCATGTCCTTGTGAAGAGAAAAACTCATTCAAAATTAACATTGCATTATCTTTACACTTCGTTATCATACATTCTCTCTTCCTCGCACAATTTACAATGACCGTCTCCACCTCCTGGATTGAAAATTATTTTCTATGTCCTAAGTATATGTTTGAAACCACCATGATCTTTGTTTCTTTAATTTCTATGTGATTAAAGTCGCTTCTATTGTATTTTAAGTATTGTTTCTAGTACCTTACACAATAAAGATATATCACACGATTACTACAACATCCTCACTTTTGTGACCTTCATATTTAGTTTGTACTCATTCCTAATAACATTTAGAACCATTTACGGGATAATGGCTTGAAAGGGTAACTAACTTTCAATTTTGTTCACATTTAATCATTAAACTTTTTTCGAGCTTGATTTACCCCTAAATTATTTGAAATTGTTCACATTTTATCTTTATGTATGGTTGTAGAATTTCGAGTTTTTTGCCAGAATTAGATTAGGATCATTGCCACAAACTATTTTGAAATCATAAAAATCATATTTTTTTTTATATGGTAGTGATTATACACATCCAGTCAAAAGATAATTATCAAAGTTTTAAGATAATTGTTTTTTTATATGATAAACAAAGTTACTTGTAAATTGTTGATTTGAGGTTATCTTGTTATATGAGTTTAGTTAGATCAATCATGAATTATATGATAATTTTGTTTGTTGAAATTGATCTAAATGTTTTTTAATGAGTTTCATAACTTGTCCTCAAGTTATAGGACATGAAAAGTCTCATCCATTAAAACAACATTAAACTCATAAGATATGGAATTCAAGATTCTTAGATGGTTACAAAACTTGTCATTAAGTTTTGGAATCCAAAAGGTTTTGAAGAGTTTCAAAACTTTCTCTCAAGTTTTGGAATTTGAAAATTTTAATTAAAAAGTTTTAATTTGTAATATTGAATTCTAAAACATCTAGTAATTGAAAGGGTTCAAAAGATACATCTCTTGGGTTTATAATTTAAAATTTAATTAAACAGTTTAGTTTTGAATTGTTAATAACCTAGATGCGTTGAAAGTTCAATTACACCTTATGGACTTTATTAAATTAATTAAAGTGTTTAATTAAAAGAAAAGTTTAATAAATCCATAATAACATGGTTTAAGATTAATTAAATTAAGAGTATAATTTAGGGTAAATGGCATAAAAAACACTCTTTTTACACAGAAATTTGATTTTGACACCATTTTTTTTTTGTCAATTTCGACACTGTGTTTTCCAATTTGCTACAATTCTGACCACTTGACCGGTTAACCATGTTGCATGCTGACGTGGCATGATGACGTGTCAGTTTCGATGACGTGGCATGCTGACATGATATGCTGACGTGTCAAAATTGATTTTTTTTCTCACAAAAAACACTAAGTTTTCATTTTTTTTCGAATTTGACACTAAGTTTAATTTTTTCTTTCAACTTTGACACTATGTTTTTTTGTTCCAAATCGAACATCAGTTTTTCCAATTTTGTTCAATGTTGACAATTTTATATTTGAAATTGTATAAATATTTTTTAATACATTTAAACCGTATAAATATGTTTTTTTTTCATTTAAAAACCATAGTTTTGTATAAATACATTTTTTTACACTCAAACCATATTTTTATGTATAAATATGTATTAGTTATATAAAAATTGTATTTTATATTAAATATGCAACGTTAAAATGTGTTTGGAGGTTTGGAGACGTGTAGTTGATCAAAACTCGGATATCAAGTTTGCAACCCATCAATTTTTTACATCTTATTAGAAGCTTATGGTTAGTTTGATTCCCATAATATAACTAATGCTTTGAATGTAAGAAAAAAACACCTTGTATTTAAATAAAAATGTGGTTTTTAAACAAAAAAAAATATGTTTATACGGTTTAAAATGTAATAAAAAATATATTTATAAGGTTTCAAATGGAAAATAGACAAAATTGAACAAAATTTGATAAATGATGTTCGATTGGAACAAAAAAAGCATAGTGTTAAAATTGAAATAAAAAATTAAACTTAGTGTCAAAATCGAAAAAAAGTGAAAACTTAGTGTTTTTTGTGGAAAAAAAATCAATTTTGACACGTCAGCATATCATGTCAGCATGCCACGTCATCAAAACTGCCACGTCAGCATGTAACCTGGTTAACCGGTCAAGTGGTCAGAATTGTAACAAATTGGAAAATACAGTGTCAAAATTGATACAAAAAAAAAACACGGTGTCAAAATCGAATTTTTGTATAAAAAGGGTATTTTTTGTGTCATTTACCCTATAATTTATTACTAGATTAAACCACCTAGTATTTTAAAAGTTTAAAATACACCCTTATACTATATAAAATTATAAGTTTAATATATTATATATGTATAAGTAAAAGGTCAGTCTTACCGTTAGTAGACCTCATTCACGAAGTCGGTATATAAGAGGGGTATACGGTTACTGCCTATAAAAGGGTGGTTTAATGGGTGTCCACTCTCACCCATTGCTTCCTTGACTGGTGGAGGGTCGCTAGCCGAACGGGTAGGATAGGACATTAATCATCATTAAAAGTATAATGAAATATCAAGTAACTAACTACTTTTATAAATTCCCAATCTTAGTTACTTAGGAAAAATGTGAATTTGATGCTAACCCATGAAATTGCACATTGCACCTTATTAGTCGTTAGTGGAGCGTGTGTGGTTAACCAGCACACTAATATGGGACTAATGAAGGATGAAAATGGGTAGCTCGATGTTAATCATAGATCAATGAAGCGTGTGTGGTTAACTGTAACACCTTGTTTATTAAATAAATTAATAAACAAATTAATGAATGGATAGTAGCCCAAAAAATTATAATTATATAGCAAGGTGTTGGTCTCAAGGAGTTAACTGTCATAAATTTAGAAGGTCGGGATTAAAATGTAAAATTCGAGACTTATTTTGTAAAGATTTTTAAAAGACAGGGGGTGTTTGGTATCATGTGGACTTAAATTGAAAAAGTTTTATAGAGGGGGGGTCATTTGGTAACATAAGGACTTCACATGGAAACAATTTGTAGAGAGAGGGACTGTTAGGTAAATTTCGGATTGGATTTGAAAGGGATTTTCGAGGTCTGGGTTTAAATGATAATTATGGGGGTTTATTTCGAAATAATTTCTGGAGGGAGGGGCTGAACTTGTCATTATGGAATCAAGTTTGGGGGATCAGGGTATATAAACCCATCACCCCTGGTTCTAACCCTATCCCTAAAGAGAGTGGCAACCACCACCCTCCTTCTCCCCTTACCGGCGCTGCCACCACCCCGTTCTGATCAGCCAACGACAAGAACAACCACCAGCGGCTCTTGTTGTCGGCATTATCGACGACTATTGGGAACTCGGAAGACGCCACAACAACTGGAGATCGGAGGGGCGAAGTCGACGTCCAAGTTACCGCCTCGCTACTGCCGTTGTGGTCAATTCCGACAAGAAGACGAGGCCACCGATAGTTGTCGCTGCTGAAGACGAAGACGGAGCGCCTCCTGCCGTCGTTTCTGTCTCACCTTCTCTTCGTCGTGCCGCTATTGTTACCGATGGTGTTGCTGCTATCGTCACTGCCTTATCTCATCACCACCAGTCACCATGGGAGGTGGCTGTGATTTTGTGTGGTGTGCGTTTCTGCTTCAAGTTTGTGTGTTGTGTTGCTACATGATTGGAAGCCAAAAGATACCACCACCACCACCGTGAGGTGGTGGCTGCCATCATAAAATCATTATTATTGCCACCGCGAGCCACCAGGTAGGTGGCTGGAGTAGGGATGAGCAAAAGGACCGGGGAACCGGCCGGAACCGGTCCCGGAACCGGCACCCGATGGAACCGGTCGGGCCGGGACCTATACTATAAATTTATGATTATTTGGAACCGGGACCCGGAAAGAACCGGCTATTGGAACCGGCCCAAAACCGGGAACCGGCCCGGCTAGAAAACCCCATATCATTATGGCATAATCCCATCTAGTCGCAGCCGATGATTCTGTCACGTAACACAAAAAAAAAAAAAAAACCCTCGGCCACGATCGCAAGTTCGCAACTCCCCAAGACCCCAACTATCGAACCCTACTCGCTATCATCTTCATCAATTGGTAATCGACATCTCTTCATTCATCATCATTCAATTGAATCAATTCTTCATCTCCAAGTTTCCATCGATTGTAAGTTTCCATCTCCAATTTTAAACCGATCTTCAATTCTTTATCATCCTTCAATTCTTCATTGATTTTCATCTTCAATTGCTTCAATGATTCAAACTATGGATGTCCATGAAGATCAAGTAAGAACATATATTTATATTTCATGTTTTAAGATTATATATTTCAATATTTGCTTCAATGCTTCAATGATTCTCCAAATAATGGCATGCATGCAAGCTTTTTTTCTTTGCTTTTGTTGTATCCATTCCAAATATATGCATTGTTATCCCTAGTTAATTAAAAGATCTTGATTCTTGATCATAGTCTCATAGTGGAGTACTCATTTACGGATGAAAGGTTGTACATATAATATATGTTTCATGTTTTAAGCTCCATTTAACAATGTACTTTGTAGACATACATGCAAGATTTTTGTTAGATTAGTTTATTGTTTATAGTATGAATGTAATTATGTAAGATTGTCAAAACTACAAATTTGTTTAGTACTTTTGTTATATAATTAATGTGTAAAATTGACAATGTAGCATTTAGATGGGTTACCAAATGTACCATCATCAAGATACCGAAACTCGAATGTTCATGATGCCAATATTGAAGATGGTTATCCGGCTAATTGGATTGGAAAAGACTTTGATGATCAAGTAAGATTAGCATTTAGCTCATTAGCAATATTTACTTTTTTAGCAATCTGTCCAAATTTTGAATTGTTGATAACTCATTCAATTTAACTTGTTTTGACCTGAATCTTTTTCCTACATGTATATTAGGATTTGTAGTTGAGTTTAGACTATAAAAACGCTTAATTTGGTTAAAAATTGAATGAGTTACAAGCCCCGCAAGGAAGGGTGTCAAATATGATTTTTTTTTTTTCTAACAGCAATAAAACGTGATCTGATTTTGTTGTTCAATTGTGCATAACTCATTCAATTTAACTTTTTTTACCTGAATCTTTTTCCTACATGTAGATTAGGATTTGTAGTTGATTTTAGACTATAAAAACGCTTGATTTGGTTAAAAATTGAATGAGTTACAAGCCCCGCAAGGAAGGGTGTCAAATCTGATTTTTTTTTTCTAACAGCAATAAAACGTGATCTGATTTTGTTGTTCAGTTGTGCATAACTCATTCAATTTAACTTTTTTTTTCCTGAATTATTTTCCTACATGTAGATTAGGATTTGTAGTTGAATTTAGACTATAAAAACGCTTGATTTGGTTAAAATTTGAATGACTTACAAGCTCCGGAAGAAAGGGTGTCAAATCTGATTTTTTTTTTTATATTTATTTTTCAGCATTTAAACATAATATGACTTATTATATGTTTTATTTTGAGAATATAGGATTATGGAGAAGATTCAGAAGAAGATTATATAGAAGAAACACCGGCATGGAATGTCATACTAAGTGATGAATCAAACCAAGAAGATGAGCCACAAGAACAACAACCTTCAAAAAAACGAAAATTTGCAACCCCACAAAAACGAAGACAACCAAAAAAACCAACACAAACAAAAAAACCACCACCACCACAAAAAAGAACACAAGAAAAATACCCAACAAAACCAAAACCCAAAAACAAAAAAAAGACTCAAAAAGAGTTAAGGGACCGGATTAACCCAACTAGACGAGGTGAGGGTAGAGATAATTGTACCGCTCCTGTTTGGAAATACTTCGAGATAGAATGGATAAAGGAGGACGATGGAATTGAAAGAAAGTGGGCCGAATGTAATTATTGTTTATATTTACTAGCTGCGGATCCAAACTGGAATGGGACAACGTCAATAAATAAGCATTTTAATGGGTGCAAGTTAAATCCAGACAACATACCGAAAGAAGTTGATGACAAACAACAAAAGTTGTCATTTACGAAAGCTCCTAATGGTGAGGGTCATGTATACACATGGAAACATGATGATACTAGGATCCAACTTGTCTTGCTAGGCCTTTTCACCATCGGCGAACTACCATTTAAATTCATTGAAAACGAGGCATTCATAGAATTTGTGAACGCCCTCAATGGTAGGGTGAAATTGCCTTCAAGGCATAAAATTTCTCGTGATGTTGTGTCATTCTATTTAATGGAGAGGCAGAAGTTGTACAAACATTTAAGCAACCCCAAAACAGCCATCCACTTGACAACCGACACGTGGACATCCTCGTATCAAAAGATAAATTATATGGTTGTCACGGCCCACTTCATTACCGAAGAATTTGTCATGCACAAAAGGGTAGTCAACTTTAGAGAGGTTGATACTCACAAAGCTGAAGACATGGCCCGGGAGTTGCTAATTTGCATAAACGAGTGGGGGATGAAGAATGTCATGACGATGACCGTTGATAATGCCAAGACAAATGACGCGGCAATCAACATCATTGTGAAAGAACTACCGGATATTTACGAGAATGGCAAACATTTTCACATTAGGTGTATGGCTCATATCATAAACCTAGTTGTGAAAATGGGGTTAAAACACGAAGTTTATCATGTAAAAAACCTACAAGATGCGGTGAAATACATTAGAGCCTCCCCGCAACGGATCAAGACCTTTAAACAAGCCATGAAGGATGCGGCTGTAGAAAGTCAAAGGTTTTTGTGTGGTGAAACTCCAACAAGGTGGAACTCTACCTTTGAATTGCTAAGATCAGCGTACGATGTGAAAGACACATTTCTCGAATATAGCCATCAAGGTAAATAAAATCAATTAATCAAATATATTTCAGCACTAAAATTAGCAATATTTATTTCTTTAGCAATCAGTCCAAATATTAAATTATGCATAACTAGTTCAATTTAACTTGTTTTGACCTGAATCTTTTTCCTACATGTAGATTAGGATTTGTAGTTGAGTATAGACTATAAAAACGCTTCATTTGGTTAAAAATTGAATGAGTTACAAGCCCCGCAAGGAAGGGTGTCAAATCTGATTTTTTTTTTTTTTCTAACAACAATAAAACGTAATCTGATTTTGTTGTTCTTTTTTTGTAGATCCAATGTTTCAGAAAACTGTGGGAAGGGTACCATCACATTCAGATTTTGAGATGATTAAAAAGATGATGGAGTTCCTTGAGAAGTTTAAGAAGAAAACTGAAAAACTTTCGTGTTCAACAAAGCCTATCTTCCATACGTATACCCGGGAGATCTTAGATATAGAGCAACATCTTAGGAAACATGAAACCAACCCGGATTTTATGTTTATGGTACCGGATATGAAAGATAAATATGACAAATATTGGGGTGACTATGATACTATAAGTGATTATGTCTTCTTTGCGACATTGTTAGATCCTCAATGCAAGTCAAAGTTTAGAAAGTTGTTTTTACCCAAATGCTTAAAGCCAAGAACAAAGATAAAAAGATGTCCGCTGGTGAGATAGAATCCAAAGCACGTGCAAAGGTTATTGATATCGAATGCAAATTGGATAAGTTTTTCAAGACATACTTGGAAAGGTCAAACATGACCTCATCGTCTCAACAAGAAACTCCCGAAGAAGTTGTGAATTTTGATGACGAAAACAAATTCTTTGGAAGCTATATGACTTCGGGAAGTTTCCCCTCGACTTCGTCAGAAAGTCAATTGCAACGATACTTAAACGAGGACCCAATCGGATTTGACAAAGGATATGATATCCTCACATGGTGGAAAAATAATGCGGTGCGGTTCCCGATCGTTGCTCGAATGGCAAGAGGTATCGACCTTCTTTTACTCTAATTTAAAATTTTAAATTATAAATTCGTGTCATGTATTATACACTAATTTGTTTATTAATAGATATTTTAGGGATGCAAATTTCCACCGTAGCATCCGAATCCACATTCAGTAATGGTCGTTGAGTAATTACCGACTACCGTACTAATTTGTCCGTTGTGATTGTGGAGGCATTGATATGCACTCAATATTGGCTAAGAAAGAGTAGCTTGCCTATATATGACTACGACGAAGTGCACGATGTGTTAGCTGACGATAACCTCGCTATCGGTAATACACTAATACTTGTTCCATCTTATTTTTAACTTCTTATTAGTATTTGTTACATTTTAGTAAGTAATAACATTTTTCTTTTGTATTATATATAGACATTGTGGATGCTATACACAACTTGAAGCTAACGGGGAAGAGATCGGGGAATTAGTCAAAATGTCAAAGAAATGTTGGAATCCACATATTAGACTTTGTTTTTTTTTTGTTGGTGAAACTTGGAAGTATATTTTGAATGTCGAAAGTGTATTTTGAATGTTGAATGTTTGAATGTTGGATACTTAATAACATAATTTTGACGACATCCATGTTTAATTTGCTTGTAATAATTTAAATAAAAGATTAAAGATCCATGGTTAATTTGCTTGAATGTTGAATCGTTTATTAAAATGTTTATTATTAAAATGTTGATTATTTACTAGTATTTAAACATCCACTTCTTCATAAAAAACCAATAAAACGCAAAGTAAATTAGTTGTTGGAATTACTCGAAAAACCGGCAAAAATCGGACCCGAAAAACCAATATAACGCAAGGTAATTTAGCCGGTTCCAAACTCGAAAAACTGGCAAAAACCGGACCTGGAACCAGAAACCGATATAACCGGAACCGGTAGAACCGCCGGGCCGGTTCGGTTCTTCATTTTGGCCGAAACCGGTTCCCCGGTCCGGTTCGGTTCGGGCCGGTTCCGGCTGGTTCGGTTCTTTTTCTCATCCCTAGGCTGGAGTGTGTGCTATTTTTTGAAGTGTGTGTTGGGTGTTTTGTTTAACCGGAGTTCACGGAAAAATCCACCACCACCAGCATGAGGTGGTGGTTGCCACAACCGGTCACCACTAGGGTGGTTGTGTGTGTTTAGCATTATTGTGTGTGTTATTTTGGAGATTAGCAATGTAAAATGTAATTAGAAATTTGAATAATGAAAATAAACTCGAACCACCACCAGCCGCCTTATTGGGTGGCGGTATGCTTTGATTGCGTATGGACCTCGTTTGAGATGCATGAAACCCTAATGGGCCCAATAATGCACTGATTGACCAGAAAGCCCAAACATGTGACTAATGTGCCTAGTGAAACCCTAATGGGCTTGAGGACTTAGCTTTTGGGTCTAATTGGGTTGTGCGGGGTTAGAAACCCTAATTAGGGTTTAGAAAACCTTAATTTTGGATATACGGGCCTTAAACTTATCGGGACCCACATTTGGGTTATTGGAATGGAATTGTGTACTAAGCCCAATCACACCATATGATTTATTTAAAAGAGTGATGAACTTAAGGGATTAACTCCTTAAAGGGTTAAGTGAGAAACACTTAACCCTAATCGTCATTTTATGTGAAATCCTAATTTCACTTGGCTTTATGTTGGGCCTTTCTATTGGGCTTTGGTGTTTGAGCTAATAATAGGCCATCCAAGATCAATACATGGACTGAAATATTTATATGGGCTTTAATTTGGAAAATTGGGCCACAGTTTGGGCCTTAATGGTTATATGATATTGGGACATTAGAAATGCCAAATGTTTGGACTGGACTAAGTAGTTGGGCCTTTAGTTATGACCATGTAAAGGTTTAGGCCTAATTTGGAAAATTGGGCCATATGTTGGGCTTTGACTCATAGTTGACTGTTGGGCCTTTGGATTGGATCAAGCTAAGATTAGGGTAAATCAGTCTTTTACCCCAAGCATGGACTTATGAGTATATGTGATGGAACCCAATTATTAACTGGGTATTATTTTGATGTTGACAGATTCGAGAATCTGTCATCCAGTAATTAGGGTTTTGTCAGAAGGACTTCAGCAGTGTGAGGTGAGTTTTCCTCCAGTAGGAATGGGTCTAAGGCACCAATGTTGGCCCGTTTATGTAGTTGTAGTATGCCGGGGTAAGCCCGATATCGTGGTTAGCCCGATGCAGTTTATATATTTCCGGACTTCGATCTGATGTCGGGGCGCTCCCGAGAAGTAGTTAAGTATGTGTGTTGTCTTTGTGATTCATGCGTGTTATATGATATGTGTTATGTGTTCCAGGGTTCGATTCGATGTCGGGGCAATCCCGATGTATGTTAGTTTACATGTTATGTGTTATGTGATTCGGGGTAAGCCCGATGTATGTTAGTTATTATGCCATGTATTATGTTTTCCAGGGAAAGCCCGATGTATGCTAGTTTATATGATATATGTTATATGTTCCGGGCTTCGGTCCGATGCTGGGGCAGGCCCAATGCAGTTTATGTGATTATGTTATATGTTATATGTTTTGGGCTTTGGTCCGAAGTCAGGGCAAGCCCGATGTAGATTATGTGATTATTTTATGTGTTTGTGATATATGTTATGTTGTGTATGTGCCAAGGAAAGCCCGATACCGGGGTGAGCACGATACCCGATGCGGTCGGATGCCGGGGTGAGCCCGATGTCGGGTAGGAGTCCGATGTTAGGTAAGCTGATATCGGTATTCGTCCCGATGCAATTGGGTGTAGTTCCAGAGTTATGTTATGTGTTATATGTTAAGTGTATGGTATGCGGTAGTTTAGGGGAGTTCACTAAGCTCTGTGCTTACAGTTTTAGTTTTGGTTTTGGGTACTTCAGTTAGCAAAGAGAATGGCTCGGGATGATCGCATGACACACACCACAATTTTCTATCCTGAGAGATTTACTATGATAATTGATATTAGATTTTGATATGATGACAGATATTAGTTTATTTTAAGATACATGTTCTATGATAATTACAGTTTATTAATAATTTAAAAACAAAATTTTTGGGCTGTATTTTTGAGATGTTACATTAACCAGCACATTGATTAGGTGATTTATAACATTAAGTGTACCAAGCTAATTTGCATGGTTATTCACACCTTGTTTGTGATCCTCGACATCCCAGTCACAAACTTGAAGGGCATAATCGAGATTTAAACATGTCATTGAAACGTTCAATGAATCTCAAAGAATCTAGTAATTTCAATTCATTTAAAACCTAAATTCTTTTTTTATGGTGGAAATTGGTAAATCATCATTTACCTACCTTCAAATATTTTACAATTGGATTACGGCATCCCTCTTCCAAATTGTAGAATATTGTGTTGGGTCCTAGCCTTAATATTTCATTTTGTGTGTTATATTAAGGACTTAAATCAACTAACATGAATTTATCCCATTATATATGTTTAGGTCAGACAATTATGGTCTTCCCAAATCTTTTGGAAAAAGATTTCCACATGAATATGATGTTCCCATAAATCATACTTCACTTCCTCCACCTCTTCCAACAATTCTCCCTAACCCACAAGTTCAAAGACTTGAAAAGTTCAAGGTCACTCAAGCCCTATCGGCTAGAAAACACCAAGATGGAAGGTCTGTGTGTGCACATGTCTTGGAGATGAAGTCACACATTGACAGACTAGAAATCTTAGGATCCGTTGTGTCGAGGAAGTTGATTGTTGAATTGGTTCTTTAGTTACTTCCTGAGTCGTATAGTCAGTTTGTTAAAGACTACTATATGATAGACTGCGACGTGACCCTTATTGATCTTACATATTTCGTTATTGCTGCTGAATCTGCAATGATTTGGCGCACTGGTAATGCAAATTTGATTAGAAGAACTATTTCCCAAACTTCCATGGACATTGACAATGGAAAAATTGGGAGTCCAGAAAAGATTTCTCTTTCTAAATGAAAGGGAAAGGTTAAGTATGAGATTGTCCCGTGTACCATTCCAAAAGAATATGTTTGTTTCTATTGTTAAGAAAAAGGGACATTGGAAGCAAAGCTGCCCTGACTACCTAAGAGATCTAAGAGATGGTAGAATCAAATTGTATGGTTATATTTTAGGTAAGTCAACTATCTAACTCTATTAAGTTCCTATTTGTAGATTCTTAATACATGATGTAATGTAATTACATTTTGATGTTTTGTAGGATCAAAGGAAGCTTAAAGGAAAAGCAGGTTGAATCTGATCGCAAAGAGATGGATTTCGATCGCATGGTTCGATGATCGGATTTTTGAGCTGATGCTAGGAGTTATGATAATTTGCGTAGGAATATTTAAAAAAGTAGTTTTCATATGTGCTTTCAATGTAAGGAAAGGTTTTCGCATGTTATAAATAAAGAAAATTTTGATTTTATCTTATTTTATATTTCCTTGCAATGACATTTGTTAAAATTAATGTTTGTATGTTTCTAGTTTTAGCAAATGGATTTGATTATTTCGTTTGTGGTAGTGTCTAAATTTACAAAATAAGGAAAGATTATCATCACCAAGTTTCAATTAGACAGAAACTTGGAATCATGCAACTTGTATTGTATGATAAGTGAGAATTTTCATCTTTGGGGAATTAAGACTAATTCATTGTTCATGTACATGTGAGTCAAGTGAAGGACTAGGGGATCAGGTATACTTTGTTGTGCACTGATCAGGTCCACCACAAAGAACGATAAGACTATTCGTTATGGTTTACTAAAAGTTTAGTAAGTATGGTTATGCTTACATGTTTAAGTGTAATTATGAATCATTGGAAAAGTTTCAATGTATAGCAGTACGGATAAGAAGAATCATTTAGGCAGAAAGATAAAAGTTTCTCCAATCTGAAAGGAAAGGAGAGTACTATAGTATTGTGTTTTATGATCATCTTAATGGTTATGAAAACCATTTCACAACTGATCCTCTAAGGACACCTTAGTACATTTGTATGGCTAAGAAGAGGAAACAGGGATTATTGAAATGGTTAAATCAAAAGGTGAATCATA